GAGTGTCATGTTTCTAGACCAGTAGAGTTTTGTGGAAACCCATTGCAGCCTTTCTGGTTTCTGGTCTTTCTGGAAGAACCAAACCACCCCTTGTTCAAACATGTGTATATAAGATGCAACCAATGTGATTAAGATTTCAGTCTCTGTGTAAAGTCCCACTAATGAAACTTTCCGAAGGAAAGCTGTTGCTCTCTTTGAGGTGTCGTTAGAGCTTAGGGTTTTGGCAAGGCATCACAAAATACTCACTTAATGCAGTTTACTGGATCCTGTTAGACCTAGGGTTTGTATGCCTAGTGACTTCCAATTTTTTTTTCATGCATAGGCTCTCGTGGTTTTATTTGGAAAGAGTCTCTAAACTCTAGGAAAATAGTGTATTATACACAAGGTCGAGACTGGCAGCCCACAGACCTGTTTGGTTTGGCTCACACAACTTGGGCCTGTTAAAAACAGGAAAGTGTGGGAACTCTGGCCCCTGTGTTGCTTCATGAAGGGAAAGGCTGGGGTACTCGAATTCCACTTTGCCATAGTCATTCAGTCCTGATCTTCTTACACTGAACTAGTCCATTTATGTAACCTGACTGGCCTCTGCAGCCCTTTGAGTTTGTGACCTTAGTCTTCCTCTTTGGGCATAATGTGGAGAAACACAATATCTTTATAACCTGATAGGGGCAGACAGTGCTTTCTGAGGGCTAATTTTTCAAAATTTACTGTAGAAACAAATGAATTGGATTGTCCTGATGTTTCTTCTGAGCATGACAAGTGGTTTATGATTCTTGGATATGGAACAGATTCACTGTAGTAGAATGGGATTCCCAAGGAAAGTAAGATTTAAATTGGATTTGTGGCAACCAGTAGACTTCATAGGTATAGAAAGAGTGAAAGAGGTTCTAATATATTTTCAAGGTTGGAGAACAGAGCAGTTTGGTTATCACCCAGGTTCTCCTTGGGGATGAGCTGAAGGTGAAGCTGAAATCGTGTGACGAGAGGCATTGAGAACAAACTTAAGGAGTTTCAATGCTGTGGGCCAGTTCATTTCAGTAAAATAAATATTTATTGAGCGACTTATACATTCCACATATTTTGCCAGGTGTGGAAAGTACAGAGATGAATAAGTTACAGTTAGCATGTGTCTAGTTGAGAAGTAACTATAACAAGTCGTTTATACAATGTGAAAAATAAGAGACCTAACTTGGGAACAACATAGCAATCATTGCCAATTTGGAGGCCCTGTGTAGCACTTTTCTCCACCATGAATAAGGAATTTGCCTCTGATCTTCCACTGATAGGAGGACAGAAAATTGACACCTTGGTGTCAAAGCAAAATATACAAGTAAAGAAACACATGCATAATTTATGTAATTCTCTGCCTCTGCACAAACTTATGTGTATATGTGTGTGTGTGTGTGTGTGTGTGTGTGTACACACACATACTCATAAAGTCCAACATTTATTGCAAAGAGTTTAATTAGCTAAAAATAATTATGACTGCCCAGTGAAAAGATCAAAGTTGAGGGAGAATTTCATCCAAGCTTACAAAAGCATAGATAGGGCAGCTAAATAGAACATGAACCTTTTCACCAAATCTTAGACAACTATAAATAACGGACACCCCTTGAAACTGTAGGAGGCCTTCTAAGAAGGGAGTTTCCATGCTAAGAGCCCACAGACCATGTCTGGCCATGGACAAATTTTGTTTGCTCTACAGTGCTTGATTTTTTTTTAATTGTTATTGTCATTTAAAAATTGGAAGTTTTCCATAAAAATGGGGATTTTCAGCTTCAAAAAAATTAGATCTTCTCATACCAGACCTGCATTTCTATAGGACGATAACTGGCTTGAGCTGAGGAATACATACTCCCCTTAGATGCAGAGCACGTGCTTCCTATTCGCCATACGCCCCACTCAGCCCACTTGCCTATTTTCATTACTTACTTGGCCCTGGAAGATAGTTGATTTTGCAGCACTTGCCTTAAAACAAAGAGAAGAGAGCAGTATGCGTTTGTAAAATGCCCCGAGTATACTCGTAAGTAGTAAAAGTTGGAAGTAAAGGCTTGAGAAGGGCTTGATAAAATTTGTGGTTGATGCAGATTCATAATGGATTTGTGACATTTACCGTCACTTCACAGTGAATGAACTGTGAAGTTCAAATGTAAAAAACTTTACATTTGCCTGTTAAACCTTTTTAAATGAGCTTTCAGTTTCATTATGCTGTGAACTTGCATCGGTGATACCTTAGCCTTATGATTCCAACTTCCAGTCAGCCGGTCCACAAATATATATTATTAGGTTCACTGTGTATTGTGCCCATAGAATTAGAGCAGGGACTGCTGCCCACACAACTCTATTCCCCAATTTTTTTTTTTTTTTTTACTTAAAAGTATAACTTTTTATTAAAACTTTGAAGTGAAACATTAATAAACATTATTTTTAAAGGCAACACTTTGAAAGCAACCTAAATCTAAATGATCATTTATAACTTTCTCACTATACACAGTTTCCAAAGTCTTTCCAACCTAATGTTACACAGCCATGTCTACTTTCTGAAAGTTTACCGTTCAAGTGAAATAGGGAGATTAAGAGGTACAGACTTCCAGTTACAAAATAAATGAGTCAAAGGGATGAAATGTACAGAATGAGGAATATAGTCAATAACTATGTGATATCTTTGTGATATGTGACAGATGGTAACAAGACTTAAGATGGTGATCATTTTGTAGTGTGTAGAAATTTCAAATCACTATGTTGTAAGCCAGGAACTAACTAACATGGTCAATTATACTACAAAAACAGACCAAATTTATAGAAAAAGAGAGGGGGGTGGCGGAGAGGGGGAGTTGGATGAAGGTCATCAAAAGGTACAAACTTCCAGTTATAAGATAAATTATTACTAGGGATGTAATGTGCCACATGGTTAATATAATTAACACTGCTGTGTGTTATGTGTAAAATTTGTTGAGAGTAAATCCTTTTTGCTTTTTTTATTTTGTATCGGTGAGATGATGGATGTTCACTAAACTTATTTTGGTCATCATTTCATGATGTATGTTAAGTCAAATCAGTATGCTGTAGACTTTATTATTGCCCTGTCAATTATATCTCAATAAAACTGCAAGGGAAGAGAAAGAAAGAAGGAAGGAAAGGGAAGGGAAGGAAAAAATTTACTTTTAACCGTTCTCATAGGGATTTCAGCTTAGGGGGTCATTGCTGTGGCTCCTTTCTTTCAAAGCTAGCCTCTGGAGTAATTCCCCATAGATCACATTTCCCTTTCCTTAGAGTTCCTCATTCCTCCCTTTGTTGCAGGAGAATGGGGTGCAAGAGGATGGTCACGTCCCAGGTTTCAGGCGAGTTCCTGGGACGGGCTGCTAAGTGAGGGTCCTTGGCTTCACACAGGAAAGAATTCAAAAGTGAGCCAAGGTAAAGCAAAAGAGAGTTTATTTAGAGAGATGCACATTCCGTAGGCAGAATGCTGTTGTCTCAGAAGCAGCCCAGCGTGATTAGTTTTTTTGGGCTGGGTAATTTCATAGGCTAACAAGCGGGAGGGATATTCTATTTTGGGGAAGGGGCAGGGATTCCCAGGAATTGGGCCACCACGCACTTCCACTTTTTGGCCTTTATGGTAGCCCTCAGAAGTGTCATGGCTCCTGTGGGTGTGTTGTTTGGCATATGCTAGTGTATTACAGTGAGCATCTAATGAGGTCTCAAGGTCTACTGGGAGTTGTATCTTATGCTATCTTGGGCCTAGTTGGTTCTAACCAGTTTTTGTCATATCCTCA